ATCTGGGTGCTCATGTATTGGGTGCATATATATTTAGGAAATTAGCTCTTCTTGTTGCATTGATCCCTTTACCACTATGTAATGCCCTTCTTTGTCTTTTTTGATCTTTGTTGTTTTAAAGTCTGTTTTATCAGAGACTAGGATTGCAACCCCTGCTTTTTTTTTTTTTTCTTTTCTTCTTTTTCTTTCTTTTTTTTTTTTTTTTTTTTTTTTTTTTTTTTTTTTTTTTTGGCTTTGTTTGCTTGGTAAACATTCCTCCATCCCTTTATTTTGAGCCTGTATGTGTCTTTATATGTGAGATGGGTCTCCTGAATATAGCACGCCGATGGGTCTGACTCTTTATCCAATTTCCCACTTCATGTCTTTTAATTGGGGCATTTAGCTTATTTACATTGAAGGTTAATATTGTTATGTGTGAATTTGATCCTGTCATTATGATGCTAGCTGGTTATTTTCCTCATTAGTTGCAGTTTTTTCATAGTGTTGATGGTCTTTACAATTTGGTATGGTTTTCCATGGCTGGTGCCAGTTTTTCCTTTCCATATTTAGTGCTTCCTTCAGGAGCTCTTGTAAGGCAGACTTGATGGTGACAAAATCCCTCAGCATTTGCTTGTCCGTAAAGGATTTTATTTCTCCTTTGCTTATGAAGCTTAGTTTGGCTGGGTATGAAATTCTGGGTTGAAAATTCTTTTAAGAAGGTTGAATATTGGCCACCACTCTCTTCTGGCTTGTAGGGTTTCTTCAGAGACATCTGCTGTTAGTCTGATGGGCTTCCCTTTGTGAGTAACCAGACCTTTCTCTCTGGCTGCCCTTAACATTTTTTTCTTCATTTTAACCTTGGTGAATCTGATGAATATATGTCTTGGGGTTGCTCTTCTTCAGGAATATCATTGTGGTGTTCTCTGTATTTCCTGAATTTGAATGTTGGCCTGTCTTGCTAGGTTGGAGAAGTTGTCCTGGATAGTATCCTGAAGAGTGTTTTACAACTTCGTTCCATTCTCTCCGTCACTTTCCAGTACACCAATCAAACATTGGTCTGGTCTTTTCACATAGTCCCATATTTCTTGGAGGCTTTGTTCATTCCTTTTCATTCTTTTTTCTCTAATCTTGTCTTCATGCTTTATTTCGTTAAGTTGATCTTCAATCTCTTATATCCTTTCTTCCACTTGATCAATTTGGCTAATGATACTTGTCTATGCTTCATGAAGTTCCCGTGCTGTGTTTTTCAGCTCCATCAGGTCATTTATATTCTTTTCTAAACTGGTTATTCTAGTCAGCAATTCCTCTAGCCTTTTTTCAAGGTTCTTAGCTTCCTTTCATGGTGTTAGAATATGCTCCTTTAGCTCAGAGAAGTTTGCTATTACCCACCTTCTGAAGTCCACTTCTGTCAAGTCATCAAACTCATTCTCCGTCCTGTTTTGTTCTCTCACTGGTGCAGAGTTGTGATTCTTTGGAGAAGAAGAGGCATTCCAGTTTTTGGAATTTTCAGCCTTTTTGGAAATGGTTTTTCCTCAAATTCATGGATTTAGCTACCTTCAGTCTTTGATGCTGGTGACCTTCAGATGGGGTTTTTGTATGGACGTCCTTTTTGTTGATGTTGATGCTATTCCTTTCTGTTAGTTTTCCTTTTAACAGTCAAGCCCCTCTGCTGCAGGTCTGCTCGAGTCCCTGTTTGCCTGAGTATGACCAGCGGAGGCTGCAGAACAGCAAATATTGCTGCCTGTTCCTTCCTCTGGAAGCTTCGTCCCAGAGGGGCACCCGCCAGATGCCAGCTGGAGGTCTCCTGTATGAGGTGTCTGTCGATCCCTGTTCAGAGGTACTCCCAAGTCAGGAGGCACGGGGGTCAGGGACCCACTTGAGGAGGCAGTCTGTCCCTTAGCAGAGCTCAAGCACCATCCTGGGAGATCAGCTGCTCTCTTCAGAACCAGCAGACAGGAGTATTTAAGTCTGCTGAAACTGCACCCACAGCTGCCCATACCCACAGGTGCTCTGTCCCCTGTCCCAGGGAGATGGGAGTTTTATCTATAACCCCTAACTGGGGCTACTGCCTTTCTTTCAGAGATGCTCTGCCCAGAGAGGAGGAATCTAGAAAGGCAGTCTGGCTACAGTGACTTTGCAAAACTGCTGTGGACTCCACCCAGTTTGAACATCCCAGCAGCTTTGTTTACACTGCGAGGGGAAAACTGCCTACTCAAGCCTCAGTAATGGCAGACGTCCCTCTCCCCACCAAGCTCCAGCATCCCAAGTGAACTTCAGACTGCTGTGCTGGCAACAAGAATTTAAGCCGGTGGACCTTAGCTTGCTGGGCTCCGTGAGGGTGGCACCCTGGCTTCAGCCCCCTTTCCAGGGGAGTAAATGGTTTGTCTCGCTGGCATTCCAGGTGCCACTGGGGTATGAAAAAAAAAAAAACTGCAGCTAGCTCGGTGTCTGCCCAAATGGCTGCCCAGTTTTGTGCTCGAAACCCAGGGTCCTAGTGGTGTAGGCACCCGAGAGAATCTCCTGGTTTGCCGGTTGTGAAGACTGTGAGAAAAGCCTAGTATCTGGGCCAGAATGCATGTTCCTTACAGCACAGTCCCTCAGGGCTTCCCTTGGCTAGGGGAGAGAGTTCCCCAACCCCTTATACTTCCTGGGTGAGGCGATGCCCCACCCTGCTTCAGCTCGCCTTCCTTGGGCTGCACCCACTGTCTAACCAGTCCTAGTGAGATAAGCTGGGTACCTCAGTTGAAAATACAGAAATCACCTGCCTTCTGCATTGATCTTGCTGGGAGATGCAGACGAGAGCTGTTCCTATTCATCTGTCTTTCCAGCCACCCCCAGTGCTTCTTTTTAACCATACTACCTAGGAACTACAGTGTGGCAAGGAAAGTCCAAATCATGGAATAGATACTCATGTGAACTAGTGAACATTGCTGTATACGGCCACAAGTCATGTTTCTAATGACCTCTAATTCACAGTATTTCTTCTTAGAGATAGAGAGAGTGGAGTGGGGATGGATCCCAGTAGTATTCTACAGAGGGTGCTAGTGACATCCTCTTATGCAAAGGATGTACATAACTTACTGGGCAAGTTGCAAAGTTTAGAATTACTTTAGAACAGGAAATACTCAAATAGGTGAGGGTTTATCCTTTTACTAGTATATAGTAAACCTTGGAATACCATGACCAAAGGGTAGAACATGAACCACAAATGTATCAGTTCTGAACTTAATTAAATTTGTGGTTGATAAAAATATATTCTCACTTGCTATAAAACTGCTAGATTTTTGAAATTCAATTAAACATTTTCCAGAGTATATTTCTTAATTTTAAGCAAAACTAATAAATGATACCAAAAATCAAAACACACGTTTTAGAAATACTAGTTTATCCCCTTTAAATAGGCTGCTTCTGTAAAACATGATTTCTCAGAGTTTAATCAGATGTCAGTATCAAGAAGAAGATATGTTATGCAGCATTGCTTAAATACATTGGAACACAGAAAGCTTTACTTTCAGTATAGCTAGTGTTCCAAGGAATATATTGTAAAAAGTGCTAAATTAAAGGATATTTAGAACCTATATAAGAGGCAAGTTATCTACCTGAAATGGCCAGGGAACTGTTATCTACAACATACTCTATAGAGTAATCTTGTTGAAAAGGCAGATGCCGGCTGGGCGCAGTAGGGCACGGCTGTAATCCCAGCACTCTGGGAGGCCGAGGCAGGTGGATCACTTGAGGCCAGGAGTTTGAGACCAGCTTGGCCTATATGGCAAAACCCTGTCTCTACTAAAAATACAAACGTTAACCAGGTGTGGTGGCACACACCTGCACTCCCAGCTACTTGGGAGGCTGAAGCGTGAGAATCGCTTGAACCTTGGAGGCAGAGCTTTCAGTGAGCCAAGATCACGCCACTGCACTCCAACAGCAAGAAAGAAAAGATGGACTAGTGTTCAGATGCTTTCCTTGATTCAGAATCAGTATGTCTCTTAAATACTGAATATAGTAACATACACATACACAAAACAGTAATTTAGCTTTTTCATATTTATACATGAACTTAGTATTTGATCTCAGCAAATTTAGAATAAGGAGCTTTTGATTTTCTACAAAAAATTATGAATTGAGAAACCTTGAATTCATTTGATGATTCCAGTTTTGATGTTTTGATTCCATAGGAAATTCAATTCTTGAAGAGTAGAACTTTGAATTTGCAGGGTGGATATGTGTGTTATGAATATGGGTCATACTTTATGCTTATGTAACTGAACATGTAGTTTTAGTGGGGCTCCCTTTCTTCATTGCAAAAATACAACTTATCCTCAATACACAATTTATTGACTACTACAACTTACCAAACAATGATTAGGCTTCATTATTCATCGCAATAAGAAAAATTTGGTGGATTAAAGGTATTGGAAACGAAATTTTAACAGTGATACGAGAATGAAATGGGAGAAGCGAACAATAGAGACTTCAATATTATCTGTAATACTCTTTTATATTTAAAAAAGTGATGCAAAAATGAAAAAATGACATTTGCCAGTAATGCGAATGTATCACATAGCTATTGCATTACTTTGCTTTTTTAAATTCAAAAAATAATATTACTAACAATTTATATGATCATTCATTCAACAAATACTTGTTGAGAGCCTACTGTGTGATAGGTGCTAGCAATAAAAGATAGTAAAAACGAGACATCATCCCTACTCTCCTGGAGTTTGTGTTTAGATGTGAAATGTTTGAGATCTTATTTAGAATGTATAAAAGGACAAAGTGAGGAAATGGGGGTAAATTAACTCATATCGATAATTAAGAGGTAGGGCTAATGTGGGTGCTAAATTTAGTAAGAAAGGCCTTTCAATACTGAGAGGAGCTGCCTTATTTTTAGTGAAAATTGAGTTGGAAAAAAAATACACACTGGCTATGGGCCCCACAGCCAAAGCAGTCTCATGTGGTATTTAATTTGCTCACTGGTTGCAGCTCAAAGTTCACATGCATTTTTCTTTGATTCTCTCTAGTATATGACTGCTGCTGCTCCTATGCAAGGGACCTACATTCCCCAGTACACGCCTGTGCCTCCGACAGCTGTTTCTATTGAAGTAAGTCTATCTCTGTCGAATAAAGAGGTTAGAATAAATAAATCTCAGTCGCATACACTGTAGTCCCCCCATAACCGTAGGAATCCTCACTTGCAATTTTTGTGCTACTCTAACATTCAGTATATGAAAGTATAAACATTTACTTGAATGTGGTTGTGTTTTGCTTTGCACATGCAATGAGGTCATCTGCTACAGAGGCACGACGGGAGTCTCTTGATGGGAGTCTCTTTCATATTTAGAGAAAATTCTAGAAACCAAATCACAACTCCAACAATTTTAATCACAAATACTTACAAAAGGAAAAAAGTTTGCAACTATGTGAATGAACTAGTTCTTTAATGCCTTGTTCCTCAAAGAGTGGTTCCTAGACCAGCATCATTGGTATCCTTTGAGAGCTTGTTAGAAATGCAGACTTGCTGGGCATGATGGCATGCACCTGTAATCCTAGCTACTTGAGAGGCTGAGACAGGAGGATCTCTTGAGACCAGAAGTTCGAGACCAGCCTGGGTGAAACAGGGAGACCCTGTCAGAAGGAAGAAAGAAAAGAAATGTCGGCTCTTAGATACTATCCAGACCTACTGCATCTGAATTTGCATTTTAAGATGATCACTCAGTGATCCAAATGCACATTAAAAATTTGAGAGACACTGCACTAATGCACTGGTTCTCAAACTTTTCTGCACATTGAAATTATTTGGAGAGCTTTAAAAAATATTGATTCCTGGGTCTTATTCCCACAGATTATGAATTTGACTGGAGTATAGACTGAACATTTTTTTTTTTTTTTTTTTTTTTGAGACAGAGTCTCACTCTGTTGCCTAAGCTGGAGTACAATGGCACAATCTCAGCTCACTGCCACCTCCACCTCCCAGGTTCAAGTGATTTTCCTGCCTCAGCCTCCCAAGTAGCTGGGATTACAGGTGCCCACCACCACGCTCCACTAGTTTTTTTTGTTGTTGTTTTGTTTTTTGTATTTTTAGTAGAGACGAGGTTTCACCAGGTTGGCCAGGCTGGTCTTGAACTCCTGACCTCAGGTGATCCACCCGCCTCGGCCACCCAAAGTGCTGGGATTACAGGCATGAGCCACTGTGAACATCATATTTTTAAAATATGTACCCAAAGACTAGAAATCATTGCTCTAGGTGATGAACCTGCACAGGCTTGCAGCTTCTTACAGACAAGAAAGAAGTTGTACAACTCTTATTGCTGTGAATATCATGAATGATGATGTCAGCTTGTCCTTAATGGAAGTTTTGCTGCATTCATTCTCTCTTTCCATTGGGATAAATCTATGCCCTCTACACATCATTCTACTGGACAGAGCCATAAACCACATAGAAATGGAGAGGGTACAGAGCTATGCAGATGGTGGTAAAACAGTTAGGTATGTATATTCTTTGCTCTGGTTCTAGCCATTACTTTTTGACTGCCCTTCTTTCCCCTCTCCTGATGCACATGTGCATTATGGTCACCTGCATTCCTTCTCATCAGCTGGGAATCCTCTGCAGTTGATGTCTTTGCTACTCCATTTGTTGGCAAGCAACTGCTATGTTGGTACCACTCCACATAAAAATCCACCAAGACTCTCAATCTCTGAGATTGAGGGAGACCTTTACAGACTAAATTGGATCTTCTCAAATGTTTTCTGGTTTTGGTGTGTGACAAATGTTTGTTCATACCAAGTTAACAGGGCACTGTTATGTAGCTTAGGAAATCAAGGAGTTCCAATTGTTAAATCTTTCATGTGTTCCAGACCTATAGGTCTCAAATCTTAAACAGTTTTGTCTTTTCAGAATTTCAAGAATATATGATTAAATTCCATGTTCTTTGCTATATTTAGCTATCAAAAAGCACCTATGCCATGAGAAAATAGGCACTTTAAGTGTAAACTTCTGCCACATATTTTCATTTCTGTGTACACGAAAAACATATACTTATATATAAAATTTGACCATTTTGATGATTGAGACATTTAACAGTGTGGCTTATTGGAAACAGTCTAATTATAGTTATATTTAGGGATTAAAAAGAAATATTTCACTGAGAAAAATATAAATATACTGATACATTGCCTTGAACCAGTGATTATAAGGAAAAGCATTAATTAAAACACTTATTGAACATTTATCAATATCTATAAAGTAAAGGTAGTAGGAGGTGTCAAAAAATAAATAATAGCAAGTAGTGAATTAGGAAAGAAAATATTGAATAAATATAGAGAGAATTTTCAAATTCTAAAGAAGAAATTTAGGGAATCTCAGTGACAGATTACTTGACATCACTGCAGGTATCCAGGACTACAAATAAAACCAGGAAAATTTATCAAGATAGGTGCTCTTCTTAGGCCTAGTAACAACCAAATACAATCACCTAACAACCAAATAAAATCACCTATGTCTCTCTGGAATCCAAAATTATATTCTTGATTGTGACGAATTCCAGAAATTCACTCTTGCCAGCATCTGTGAGAAACAAAAAAATAGAAAGGGTGAAGGAAAAGCAAACCAAAATTAAGGACAAGTTTTTTTGTTGTTTTCTTAAAACTTCTTGGTGACTTTCAGTTCATATACGAGAAAACAAAGCAAAACAAAACAAATTACTGAAGAGAAAACCTACTTAATAGCATCCTTTGAAAAGATTTCCAAACTTTGATGTATATTTTTATTAAGATCAGTTTCCATTATTATCCCAAAGGATATAGACATGATACGGTAAAATATGGCAGGAAAATAATGTTTGAACATACAAGTTTTTGTAAGAATCCTGAATGAGCATAAATTATTATTTCTTGTGGATAAATGTGCAAACCTGGTTTAAAAGTTCCAAGTATAGGCAAAATTATTTTCTGACCACTTAACTACTTCAACAACTTCTAATGGCAAAGTTTCTTGGTGCCACATTAGGGTGAATTACTTAGCCCTTATCTAAATGTGCTCTCTGGGTGTCCTCTGAGTACCTATTGTGACTTCATGTAGCTGAGAGCATCTCTACTTAAGCCAAATAGAAGAGGGGTACTTACCGCCTATCTAGAGAGGGCCCTTTGCTGCAAGTAAGGCTTTTATGTTCTTATTTGCCTCCTTAGGGTGTTGTTGCTGATACCTCTCCCCAGACAGTGGCACCTTCATCCCAGGACACCAGTGGTCAGCAGCAACAGATAGCAGTGGACACATCCAACGAACATGCACCTGCATATTCTTACCAACAGTCTAAGTAAGTCTGGGCTGTGCTAAGCTCTTTTCCTTGAGATCAGCCATCTTGACATCACTCTCTCAATGTTGTATCTGTTAGCTTTTGATGAAATACAAACCATCCCAAACTTAGCAACAAGCATTTATTTAGCTCATGATTATGTGGGTTTGAAATTTGGGCTAACTTTGGGTGGATGGTTCTTCTGATCTTGAGAGGAATGAAACATCTAGGAACAGCTGCTGATTATCTATGCGTCTCTGCTTCTGGGTGTTGCTAGCTGTTGGATGTGTGATGGAAGTGACCGGGCCATATGCTTCTGATCCTCCAGCAGGCTAATTCACATGGAAATCTCAGAATTTCAAGAATAGTAAAGAACAAGCCCAAATGTACAAGCACTCTTCAATTCTGTTTATAGCTAATTTTCTTTTTTTTTTTTTTTTTTTTGAGACGAGGTCTCGCTCTGTCACCCAGGCTGGAGTGCAGTGGCTGGATCTCAGCTCACTGCAAGCTCCGCCTCCCGGGTTCACGCCATTCTCCTGCCTCAGCCTCCCGAGTAGCTGGGACTACAGGCGCCAGCCACCTCGCCCGGCTAGTTTTTTGTATTTTTTAGTAGAGACGGGGTTTCACCAGGTTCGCCAGGATGGTCTCGATCTCCTGACCTTGTGATCCGCCCGTCTCGGCCTCCCAAAGTGCTGGGATTACAGGCTTGAGCCACCGCGCCCGGCCTATAGCTAATTTTCTAATATGTCATTAGCCAAAGCAAGTCACTTGGCCAAACAGTCATTGTAGCAGTTCACTTTGAAATTGCTTGATATAGAGAGAGGCATTGCAGCCATTTAAAAAAATCTACCATATTTATTATTGGAAAAATTATACTATTCCTAACCTGAAACTGAATAGAGAGCCTGCATTTTAGCCTCGGTCTCCTTACTCTTAAATGAAGACAGCAACACTCCCCCTTGTAGGGTTGCTTTGAATACACAGTTAAATGTCCATGAAAAAGGGTATTAAGATATTAAGTAATAGAAAATATGGTCTTATTCAGGAATAAAATTGGCAAGGATTTTCAGAATTACTCTTGAAAATCCTTAAATCACCCATAATGCAAAGTACATTTGGCTTTGTGTTGAGTAAACATTTGGCAAACTTTCGTAAAGTTTGAGGGCTGTTTATTGAAACCAAAACAATTTACAAAAGGAAAGTCTTTATACAGGTGTCTTGGCATGCAAACTATTCAACTTTGTAGATAGCAATAAAATCCCTGATCAATAGAGAATCCCTAGACAAATCCTGCCTATCTACAGAGTGCTGCTCCATTATTTAAGATAATAAATTTTCTTCTTAAAGAAAAAGTTTATTCTGATATTTGTTAAAACATTAAGAAATACTTTATTTATTAGGTTGCTACAAAAGTAATTGTGGTTTTTGCCATTAAGAACTATAGGTATTAGGCTGGGCATGGTGGCTCACACCTATAATCCCAGCACTATGTGAAGCCAAAGCGGGCGGATCATGAGGTCAGGAGATAGAGACCATCCTGGCTAACATGATGAAACCCCGTCTCTACTAAAAATACAGAAAACTTAGCTGGGCATGGTGGTAGGCACCTGTAGTCCCAGCTACTTGGTGGGGCTGAGGCAGGAGAATGGCATGAACCTGGGAGGTGGAGCTTGCAGTGAGCAGAGATCGTGCCACTGCACTCCAGCCTGGGCAACAGAGTGAGACTCCATCTCAAAAAAAATAAAATTAAATTAAAAAATAGGTATTAAAATGATTGCAATAGGGGAAGAGAGAACATGCTCAATTCAGAATACAGCAAAGACACCTGGGGATTTGTAGCCAACAAGCCGAGTGAGGGGGTCAGTGAGTGGAGAATTACTAAGAGAAGACATCAAGAACAGGAGAATTACTGCTAAACTAACTTGACAGGCTTTTTGCTGAAGGCAGAGCAAGGAATGATAACATCAAATGTAGGGGATGAGAAAAGTGATCAGATATTGAGGGTGGTCATATCAACCATAGGCTATTCTCTTTAAACTGACTTAGTAAGATTCTTGCTAAAACTAGACTATAAAGAACTGACAAGAATGGGGGCAAAAGTCTATGCCTACTCAAGATGGGGACTCAGACATGCCTGACTAAAAGTTAAGCAAGAAGAGAATCTTTGTCACTTTTAAACCTCAATATACGTTGTTTATTAGATTCATCAAAGCAATTATGTGTGGTTCAGATCTAAAGTCAGCTTTACAAATTAAATTTGCTCAGAATATGACTTAACCTTACAGATATAAGGTATTACGATTGCCATTATTAATATCAATAATGACTTTCAGAAAAGATTGTTACTGAGTAGATTAATTTACTGTGTGAATCACTTTTATGTGCAAAACTAATACTGTGGTAGACTCTGCAACTCCAGTCCAAGCATATTGAAATTTTTTTTCAGCCTGGTCAATGGGTTATATGTGAGAAAAGAAGCAAATGTTGGCTACGTGTAAAGCATAGCAAGAGACATTGGTGGGAGATGAGAAATACTGTGGATAATGGGAAATTTTATGTGACTGTTTGACTGAGCCACAGGGTGCCCAGATATTTGGCCAAACAATATTTCTGGGTATGTCTGTGAAGGTGATTTTGGATGAGATTAATATTTGAATCAGTTAAAGCAGATTTTCCTCCCCCCTGTGGAAGGCTTCTATCCAATCAGTTGAAGCCCTTAATAGAGCAAAAAGATTGAACTTCTCATGAATGAGTAAGAAGGAGCTCCTGCAGCTTGACTGCTAGAGCTAGAACACTGGTCTTTTCCTGCCTTTGGACTTGAACAAAAATATTGGCTCTTCTTAGATCTTGAGCCTGCCAGCTATAGAACTAGAATTTACACCAACTCTTTCAGTTCTCAGACTCAAACTAGAATTACACTATTAACTCTCCTGGGTCTCCAGTCTGCCAACTGAAGGTCATTGCAGATCATCAGATTTCTCAGTCTTAATAATTGTGCAAGCCAGTTTATTTTTTAAAATCTCTGTATCTCTCCTCTTTCTCCCTCTCTCATATGTGTATGTGTGTGTGTATATATATGTACATGCACACACATACAGTAACTTCTGAAATTGGTTTTCTGATCTGATTAGGTTTAAAACTAATGACTATTTCTAGTAGCAAAGAGAGCATTTATATTCCATGACATGATCTGGCAATGGAAATATGCAAAATATCTCAATTAGATACTCCTAATCAACCATTTATAAGAAGCAAGGAGATGGGTGACTATGTATATGACATTTTCAAACATTTTTGTGAAATTAATGAATATGATTGTCTGATTGCTCCTAATGTCACTAGACATAGTGGGGAAAGAAGAAGATGCATTCAGGGATTCAATTTTCAGCTTAAACACAGTATAAATGACTTGAAGGCTTCTATGGCTGCCTTGAAAAAGCCCTTTATTTCCTGGAGCCACATGGCTAAGATTTCTGAAAATCAAACCCAGAATCTCATCCTATGACAGGCTGAGTTACAATAGAGGTTGAACTCCTAATTTCCTGAGTATCTCCTGTTAAAGTGAAGGCATTGATTGGGAAAGAGTGGGATCTTGTAATTGTCATGGATATATGGGGGAAAAAAGCTAATCAAGCTGGGGACAGTGAGTCCCTAAATATGATGAGTATTCTTTGCCAGTGGAAGAAGCCTCCCCATGCCCAGTGACAGTGGCTTCTCCACTACAATTGGGAGTGATTTTTAACCCTGCATTGCCTGAAAAAACTGGAATGGCCTCCTCTGAGTCAGTTGTCATGTAAGACAAAGCTGAGTCCTCTTAGGACTCACCTCTGCCACCCCTCTTCACTTCTAGATCTATAACTAGGCTCAAGTCTAGCAAGCCCTTAAAGGTGAGATGCAAAATATCACCTATAAGGAGGTGCACTACACTTCAGAAGAACTACTTAGATTTTTTTACTTTATATAGACAGAAATTCATGGAACATGTGTGGAAATGGATATCAAGGGTGTGAGATAATAATGGAACATAACGTTGGATCAGCCCAAAGTAATTGACATGGGCTCACTAAGCATAGATTCTGCAATTAATGTTGCAACTCAAGAAGTTATAAAGACTCTAATAGCTTAGCTTAGCTGGTTGACTAAAACATGGGTCAAGAGATGACCCACAGTGAGCTAGTTGGAAATGCTAGCCCTACAGGAAGAGATTCAAAGGCTTAGAGAGATTTTAATATTAGAGTGGGTTTATCATTTAAGATCTACTCACCTACAGTGGGAGGGTCCAGAAGACATTTCACCACAACTGTAAGAAATACATGTGTGAGGGGAGCCTTGGCATCCTTGAATAACTCTGTAATTGCTCTTCTCTGTAGCCCAGAACTTACAGTGGGAACTATAGTCACTGAATTGGGAAACCTAAATGCAATTAGAGTGATTGGACCCTGAGTGACTGGAGCCAGGTGGCAACATTCCATCACCAAAAGTGAGGGTGGCATGGTTACTGTAGAGGACAAAAGAGTTAAAACAGCAATCAGAATTGTGTGGCTCATGCAGACTTATGACATTGGCTGGTTGATTGTGGTGTTCCTAGAAGTGAAATACATAGAAAGTCTGCCAAATTCTTATTTGGCTTATATAAGCAGAAAAGTTCTAGGTCAGGTGAATAAATGTCTAACTTGAATCATAGAGAGAGAGAGATTCATGGCACTTCAATCAATTCCCAGACTTGAGCCAGTTTACAGACCCAGAATCCATTGACTGAAAAGGAGATTGGGTTTCCTCAAAGACAGACACTGATAAACTATCAAAGATGTATACTGTTAATTTTTCTCTCAGCCTTCCCAAAAGGGACCTATTGCCTCTGACCAAAGAAAAGAAAAAAAAAATCAGATCTTTCAGAGTCTATTGGACAACTGACATTAATTCCAAGAGACCTAAAATGGCACCATAGTGCACCAGAGTATAGACATACAGACGTCAGGTGATCAATGGAGTTTTAGCTCAGGTCCTTCTCACAGTGGATT